GGGAAAGGAGAAGCAAAGCAGATCCCTGCACTGAGCAATTTCAAAGCACATGGAAAAAAATATAGCTGCACTGGAACAGACCATGAGACCAGGGTTCAATTCCCAGCTCTACTGTAGTCACAACACCTTAGATAAATCTGTTATATCCCTAGACCTCTATTCCCCTTGTGTAAAATGCAGACCGTGTTTCCTTTACTACTTTTCCTCTGGAACATAAGCTCTTTGGCTTGGGGACTCTTGCTAAGTTTGCGCAGTGCCCATCACAGTGGGCCCCTATGCTCAGCTGGGGCCTCCTGGTACTTCTGTCATTCTGTGTTTAGTGCCTCACCTGGAGGCAATGGGAGAAGCTCAAGGGAGCGTGGGTATTAGAAAATGAAGTAATAAAAAGGACTGAACCCAAGACAGTTGCACTATGACAACTATCCCAGATTTGGGGTGGAGAAGGGGAAGGCCAAGCAATGTATTCTGGAATTAGGGTGATAATGGAAAGTGACATATTGCTGGGTGGATGAGGGGGAAGTCATGAGGTTTACTGGGGGTAGGGAGCACCCAGGCTAGGAAGCAGAGTACACAAGGGGAGTGCTGATCAGGAGCAGTGCTGACACTATGCTACAGACTGTAGGGGTATGAGATAAGAGTGCAGCTTGCACAGTAATTTGCAAAGTCAGAGGCATGTGATTTCGAAAGGGTTCATGTTTCTGACTGCCACAGGATTTTTCTTTACTGGTGATGGCGTCTATCGTACCAGCGAAGGATACTATCAACTGACAGGACGACTGGATGATGTCATAAACATCAGCGGGCACAGGCTGGGCACAGCAGAGGTGGAGGATGCTGTGGTAAGAGGCTTGGGCAGGGGGCAGTGCCAGCTGTCTGACCTCTGATGTGTAGGCAAGAGGAAGAGACGATGAGGGGAACCTCCTAAGGAAGCAGCATGAATAACAGTTAGAGAAAAGCCATGAAAATACAGACTCTAGCACAGGGGTGGGCAAAATGTGGCCCACGGGCCAGATGTGGCCCACCAGGTCATTCTATCCAGCCCACGGGGCCCCTAAACATTTAGAAAATTAATATTTATCTGCCCCTGGCTGCCTGTTATGCGGCCCTCGTTGGCTGGCCAGAGCTCAGTAAGCGGCCCTTCGCCCGAAATAATTACTCACGCCTGCTCTATTGTTATTCTTGGGGTGCCTGAGTTTTCTTCAGAGGGAAGCCATGTAGTGAAAGCTGTGGGAGGTGGGATGAAAAGCATGGTCTGCTGCATAAAGCAGTCCTGCTCTGATTCTACCCAAGATCACTGAGGTGGCAACGACAATGTGCAGCCATGGCTCCTGACACCTATTAGGACTCCTCCTACCACAGAGGCAACCACATGAGCATGTGACAGTTACCTTATTGCCTTCTCTAGAGGGATAAGCTTTTCCAGCCAGAAGCCTCTCCAGGCTTGGTGAAAGACTACCCCCTGAGCAGTGTGCAGAGTTCAACTTTCCTAATGGCTTAGTACGTGGCTTACTCACAACTCAGCTGTTCTCCTGGGCCAGACCCTTGATTGATCATTCATGGGAGGAATAAGGGTTAAGGTTTGGCTCATGCTGGAGATGGGCAAATCATGAGAGATTCAGAGAAGCACAGAAGTTAGCTGACCCTCAGAAGTCTGCTTCTCTCTGGCTGTTTGAGAAGAGAGGACCTCACTGTTCTCTGGGGTAAGGCAGGACTCCAGAGTGGTGTCAGCAAAAGTATTACTGGACTTTGCTGCTGCAGCAGGGATAAAAGAAACAGGATGTGGGGTGGCCCCTAGAAGTAAGCTCAGAGCTGGAAGGGATGTCAGAGACTGCCATGGTTAGAAAGGAGTAGGAAGAGGGACTAAGGGCCACATTGGTACCTCCCCCTCTCTCTCTGCGTTGCCTGGCATAGCCAGCTGTTAGTATCCAGCAGCACAGCTGCAGCCAGCCTGCCAGGGTTGCTGAAGTGAAATGCAGACCTGTTTTGTTCCAGAATCAGCACGCAGCAGTGGCAGAATCAGCTGTGATTGGCTACCCTCACAACATCAAAGGAGAAGGTGAGGCACTCACTCACTACCATAGTTTCCACTGTGTGCTGCTGGGGACTGTGATTGGAGGCTTCACACTCGGGTTGGCTGTGTGTTTAAATGTGGGACATGGAGACCATGCACGGCCCATGTTCCTCTGTCTGTCTTCCCCTATAGTGATGCCCAGTCCATAGGGAGGGCATGGAAGTCAACACAAGGGACACAACTGAGTAGATTCTGCATGGAGCAGGAAAGGTCAAAGGCTCTGGCAGTCCTTTGTATTTAGAGGTGTCTATAGTTTGGGGTACAAAGGACCTGCCCTAGGCTAGTACGGAAGATGTACCTCCAGGATGTCAATTCCACATACCCCAACAGGGAAACACAGTGCTTTTGGAAAAGCATCAGCTTTTTACTGCCACATGTCATGGAGATGGTGTGGTAATGAACTTTAATGAAGTCCCAGCTGCATCTCAGCATCCACAGCTTGTGTGTTGCTGCAGGCTGTGAAACATCAGCTTCAGGGTGTCTGAGCCCTGCATGGCTTGGTACATGAATAAGTAATGTCATCTGTTTTTGGCAGGGGTTTATGTGTTCCTTGTGTTGAAAAAGGGCATTTATATCTCTCGTGAGACTCTGACAGCTGATCTCCAAGAGCTGATTTCAAAGAAGATTGCAAAATATGCAGCCCCAGAGTATGTTCAGGTAACAGACTGCAAGCCTGGCCCTGCACCTCCTGCCTCCCACATACCTACAGGCCTGGCACAGCACAGCTGAAGCCTCTTCCCCACTACTCCTACCCTGGTTGCTACAGCTTCAGATTCTTACTCTACTCCCTTTGATCCCAGATCACGAGCAGGCTACCCAAGACCCGCTCAGGAAAGATTATGCGTCGTGTGCTGAAGAAGATTGTAGAGAACAAGGCCCACCAGCTTGGGGACCTGACTACCTTAGAGGACTACGAGGCTGTGCAGAAGATCATTGAGGAGCATAAATGCCTCCTGCAAGGGGAGCAAAGCCAGTAACAGCAGCACAATCAGCAGGCTCCCTGTTTCCTTTCCCTTCGCTCCCACCGAATTGGCACCAGACACAGAAAAAGCCAGTTACCAAGCACCAGCGAGTCAGCTTCACCTCTCACCCATGGTTGCTGAAGACCCACAGTCCCCCTGAGAAGCTGACACTGTCTGGGGTGGCAGGGATTGCTGCTGCCGGGAAACAGGGAGACATGTATCTGAGAAGTAGATTCCATAAGACCAGGTGGGCACAATAGTAGAATGACAGGAAGTGCTTCCTCACTGGGCAGCTGAGGGTGGGATGCCCTTACATGAGGCTATTATAAAGACATTCCCTGCCTGTAGCTAATGAAGGGGGCAGAGATTGGTTAGTTTTGGGATGGAGGCTTCCTTTTCAGCAAGGCTCCCCAGTCCAGTACACTCATGCATGACTGATGGTGATACCCAGATCCTCCAGCTGCATTCTATTCTTCCAGCTGCTGCACAGCTGTGTCCATACAAGGACAGAACAGCAGAGCTATTCTGTCACCTCCCTAGCCTGGTTAATAAAATGCTGACACATTTAACCCTTGGGCTACTAAGATTTTAATACAAAGTATTTCAATTGACTTGTGACATGGCTTCAGTACTGAAGAAAAATGCACAGTTGTTTTCTTTACGCTTCCACTGGGATAACCAACTGCTGGTTTAGCAGTGACAATGAGCCCTGCCCTACAGAGCTGCCTATCCAGGAAGGGAGGCTGGAACCACATCTGGCACAGAGCTCATTCCTCAGGTCCAGATAAAGAGGTTCAGCAAAGGTTGTGATCCCTTTGGGCCAGCCCAGAGCAGAAAGTACTGTGAACTGCCTCCATGCAGCACCAGAGACTGCCATCTGCTTTGTCACCATGGACCTAGTGGGTGAGGGTCCTGAGTTGTTCCTCTCAAAGGAAACAAACTGGGTTCCTTCCCTACCCACACTGGCAGGCAAGATATGGGAATCCAATTGCAGGAGAAGACTTGAGGCAGTAGTCTCCTCTCCTGTGAGCTCCACACCAGAAGCAGTTTGGACAAAGCAGAAAACTCAGCCCTGGCTCCTTCAGGAAATTTCTAGAAGCCTTCATCCTCCCTAGCGAGGACTCACTAGCTCAGCATTTCCACACCTACCAAGCAGGTTATCTGCTGAAAGGCAAGTTGTTTCTGCTTCTCCTCAGGAAGGGAGCCACTGGAAGCTTTGGCATTTTGTCAGCATCCCTTGTTGGCTAAGAGACACTTTGTGCTCTCATTTTTTGTTAGCTCCCACCTTCCTCCTCCACAGAGTCTCAAGATCCAGCTGTGAAACTGCAATTCAAAGAGCAGGCACAAATGAGCACAATGGTTTCAAAGGGTGAAGAGAAGTCTCTCACGTGCACACCTCACTATACAGCCCCCTGATCTTCCACTCTCAAAAGATGAATCCACCAGCCCTTTGTGACCCAAGTCACATGTAGGCCAAGAGCCAGCTGTCCCAAGGGCTGAGAGGAATGGATGTGCCTCACCCTTTCCAGGCTGGTTCGATGTCCCACGCTGATCAGGGTCATGCCCAAATGAATGCATGTATGGTATAGCTCATGCTCCACCTCTTCTGTTAGGGCACTGGTGGCTTCATCCAACACTGAAAGAAAAAGCAGGAAGTCCCATCAGCACAGAAGACTGCAGCTGTTTGGCCCTGTCATCACGCCTCTCCTCCCTCCCCACCCAGCCCTCCAACCTTCAGCTTCTGCTCCTTTCCATAAGGACTCTGGTAAATGAGCATCTGGCTTATAATATGGCATGGAGCTCTCAACACCAGCACCTCCCACTGATGGCTCACAGGCAAACTACAAAAGGCATAAGAGGACCAAGGCAGAGATCTTGAAAAGAAACTTGGTCCTCCAGAGGGATCCCTGCTCATCTCATGTATTCCCCTCTGGAACAGCCAGCTGCCACCTCTCTTTTAACCTGGTAGCAGCTGAGGGAACTTATCAGCTGCCCCCTAGATATGTCCAAATGATTTCTGGGCCAGGGAGCCCTAGTGATATTGAAGGGAGAAGAGACCTGTCAGGGTGCAAAGAAGTGCTCCAGACTCAGTCTGCTTTGGGAATGGGTTGAGCACCAGAAGCCATTGGGTCTGTATTTCAAACACCTTGAAACCAGGGTGACCTGGGAAAGGGCCTCCCAGGCTGCAAACCCTGGGGAAGGTAGAACCCAGCCCTATCCACTTCTACTACAAGCTGGACCTCAATTTTTTGGCAAGATCTCTGGATTTGGCAGCACACTGGAAACTGCAGTAGCTGCCTTTAAATTAAAAAAAATGGAGGTTTTTTAATGGATGGCTCCATCCTGGAGCTCCCAGACACTTGCTTAGATACTGAACTGAGTTCATTTTACACTGCCCTATAATTTTCAGTTTTCAATAGGCCAGAGATTTCTGCACTAACATGACAGACCTGAAGTTACAGAAGCTGTGGGGAAAACACTACAGGTATTGGCAGCTGGATGAGACACAGTCAGAGACTCTGATGTAAGTACTTTCAGTGCTGGTCATTTTAACAGAAACATCCATCTGAAGAGTCAACCAGGCTGCCATTTAAATGCATTTCTGGGGATTTCACAGCCGACACCAAGACGATAAATGGGGCAGAGCCACTGGTTCAGGCTATTGGCTCACAAAGGCACCACTGCATGTTTTTAATGTTATATTTTTTAAGTTTATCTTCACAGCTATTTGGGCTAGAATCATATTCAATGCAAGCTCAGATCCCAAAGCACTATTCAACAGCTAAAGGATGGGCCCCAGGACACTACAGAATATGAAGCCTGTGGTTGTAACAGCCATCAGCATGGGAAAGAGGTTAAT